TATAACAGCAGAAACAGACAACATTGCATCGCAGCGGGACAACCATCGGGGCAACCATCGGGACAACCATCGGGACAACCATTTGGACAAGCATCGGGATAACGATCGGGACAACCATAACCATCAGGACAACCATCGGGGCAACCATCGAGACAACCATCGGGGCAACGATACCTTCTCTCTTGTGTCCTCCCACATCCCTCAGGAAGTTGCCCTAAAGATGTGACCGACTCCTCTCTCTCCTTCTCTCTGTCTCTCGCTCTTTCTCTGCTTCATATCTATCATACGTAACACATCTACTTGTGTAATCGCCTTCCCAGGAATTTGCCTCAAAAATGTGACCAACTATCTTGGCACTGCGTACCATCTCACGTGTACCGTGTACCACATCTTCTCAGGTTGCCTCACACATGTGACGAATCTCTTTCTATCTCTCTCTCCACTGGCTCTCTGTCTTGCTCTCTCTCTCTCTCTCTCTGTCTCTCTGTACTATGTATGTCATACGCAACAAATGCACCATGCGGGGCACATGCGGGGCCCAAACAAGTGATCAACCTCTGCGGGTGTGTACTCCACGCCAGTGTAGTATCCACGATCGTCCGCGCGCCACGAAGTGAAGTGTCCTGACGTCATAGGGCGGGAAGCTGGGTGTGGGTGGTTCCCGAGAGTCGTGTGGATGTTTGGTAGAGCTTGCATTGCCCCCCCACGAAGTGGGGGTATTGGCTGGCGTCGCATGAAAACCCTGGCACTGGGGAGAACACTGAGCGTTCGGGTAAAATGATTGTTGTTGTTGTTGTTGTTATTGATATCCTCAACCGGAGCACATGCTCCTCCCACTGCTCGCACCTTGTTTCTCACAAAGGAAAGCGAGGGGTCACCAAACTGGCACCCTGGCCCCCGAGTTGCACCAACAACGGCTCCCGCCTGATACCCCCGCACAAGTAAATTAAAATGCACGCTCCCGCGCGGGTCGCCCGTAGAGTGTATGCTGGAATTGCGCTCTCGCGTGTGACTTCTTCGCAATTTATTCAGGCCTCTCGCCTCGAACTCTTAGGAACCATGCCCTCGCTCAGGTTGTTTCTAATGATTTACTTGGGTTTCGCGTTTTCGCTGAAGATTTCCTCGCGATTGATGCTCGTCTGGCTCTGCCACGTGCTTTTTGGTCCTAGCCCCCCTCCTGATAATTTCTCTCTTGCTCCATTCTTCGGCCTCCCTTCCATCCGTCCTGTCCTCCCCGGTTTCAGGGGCTACGCCATTTACACGCGGCAGATAGGGAAGATCTACCCCGAAAGGGGGTACGGTCGAAGACGAATAGGGCGGGTATCGAGGGGTTGGGCTCTACGTGTTGAATGGCATGCGAGCAGGTAAGAGCGAACCGTCTTAAAGTGATTGTTGCTGTTGTTGTTGCTGTGGTTGTTCGGATGCCGGTTTCGGCGCACCCCCGAAACGCCTGAGCGTGAGCCTTGATTTCAGAGAAAATGCAGCCGTCGCCGAGGCGAGAGCGCCAGGGCGGATTCGGGGGGTCCAACAATCACAATTGCTGAATTTCTCGGGTTCAACAGCAAAATCTACAGCAGCATCAACAACAAACACGCAATCATTGTAAGGTAGTTTGCTCTTATCTGCTCGCGTGCAACTCAATAAATACATATTCCAAACCCTCGATGCCCGCCCTCGTCGTCTTCGATCGTATGGGGGGGTATATCATCCCTGCCTGCCGCGTGTAGTTGACTCTCGTTTGTGTTTTTTTTAGGAGGACATGCCCGATATAAGGCCGGGGACACCTTTCGCAACCTCCGATCCGCCGCTTGAGGATCCCTTGCCGGGCCCCGGGACCGTCAGAGAACCGCTCGGGGTGGAGAGCCGGTCCCGCAGGGACGGGTTCGAGACCTCCAGGGGTCCGCGTTGCAGTAAACTCACGATGTCGGAGGTCTGGGTCGCCCTCAGGGGCGCCGAGGGAGTTTCGGCTCGCGACGCGAGGGGCGCGAGGATAGCCGTCGACCTTCCGCGTCGCTGTACTTCCGCGTCGCCTGAGGCGGCGGAGGGAAAGGCGAGCCGTCATCAGATCAATTCTGCATTCATGGATTTCGTGCGTTGGCCGGGTGCCGCCATGAAGGAGCCCAGGCCCCTGGAGGGCGCCAGGGGCCCGAGAGCTGCGAGAAGAACCTCCGCGGCCCCTCTTCCTCTGGGATTTGTTTGTGCGTCGTGTTGGAAGTGGGAGGGAAGGGGTCAGAGGGTGTGTGTGTGTGTGTGTTTTCGATGTTCGCCCTCGCCAGCGAGCCAAGCCAGGTCACACTTTCTGTTGTGCCGTCTGTTTGTTGGCCAGTTTTGTACGGGTTGGATGTGGGTGGGTCCCCCAAAGCGGGGCTGCATGCGAGGGGAGAGAAATAGATAATTATCGGGGAACGTCGGGGTTCCTGGGGGAGTCTAGGTGTTCTCAGGTCTCAGGGGGGGTCCCAGCACTGGTACAGCTGAGATGGCGACACCAGTACCATGAGCCCAGAGAGCAGGTGTCGCCCTAATGCAATCCCAGGCGCAGGTTCTCAGCATTGCTGAGGACCTTCGGCCATTGCCCTAAGCGATCCCAAGCGGAAGTGGCGAAGAATCTCGGAGCCTGCATCCGTGGAAAGGCAGTCAACGGGATCTTCACGGCCCTTGATGACCTTACCGCAGCGCTGGCCACCCTTATCGTTCATTCTGCAGCTGATGCTGTGTTTCAAGACCATGCAGTACCTCAGCGTGCTCGCAGTGGCGCTGTCTCGGCACCAGCTGTCACTCTTGCCACCGTCACGCGACACGTGTTGGGTAGCCAAAGTAACCGCTACTGACGGCGCTGGGGCGGCGGAAGCAGGAGGCTTGCGGCCATCACTACGATCGAAGACCGCTTGAGACAAATTCTGCGGCGTGGCTTCAATAGGTACTCTCAGGCTTGCCATGCGTGCCCGGTCCTCGCTTGGCACCTGATAAGTCGTAGCAGCCATGCCAGCTAAAGCAGCACTGCCAAATACCATCATGGCTGGAACGATGCGCTTCTTGTCGAAGGGAACTAACGCAATAAAGATAAATGTTTGGCGCTCCGCGCGGATTTCTTGGATCCTCGCCGGGGCCCCCTGGCGGCGCCTCCGGCACCGCCCCTGGCAAGCTCCGCGCGCCAGGGAGGGGGGTCCAGCGCGGATCCGAGAAATCCGCGCGGACCGTCGAAAGTTTATGTTATTCAGTTTTTTCTTGGCCACGCTCACAGACAGATTTGAACATGCAAAGCGGCAACTAGCCGTGACACGCGAGATGCCAAGTCTAATGCGCGCCCGAATGTTTGCATCTTACCCGGACAGACGCTCGCCGCGTATGCCAGCCGTTCTAAGCGCCTTCGTTGCCAGTGGAAACGACAGGGAGGGCCCGCCGCCACGTGGGCAGCCAGATGCGATGCAAGCAACTTGCCTCGATCGACTGCTTGGCTTGCGCCCGAAAGAGCCCATGAACGGTGGCGCTCGGCGCCACTTGGGCATCCCAGAAAGGCATACCAACTAGGCGTGAAATTGGATCGTGCGTTTGACCCCGCCTGTGGATTTGCCGAAGGGTACAAGCACAAGCGATCATTCATTCTGCCGCGGCCCATGCATCCTACACTGATCTCGTCGCCGAGAACATCGTGTAGCTCTCACTGCAGCCCCTCTCTTTGGAATCCGTGAGCGAAGGCCGCCTCCGAAGCGCCACTGCAGCAATCGTCCACCTTCCACTGTTTCGACCAAGCGCCCCCCACCGAAATCTCGGCAGGCCGCACATCCGCGTTGCCCATGCTGACAGCTTGCCTGTGCACCTGCGCGCACCGTTCAGAAGGTCGACTGCCCGAGCCAGGCCCTCTCCGCAACGAGGTCCGGCACGCGGTCGCCTCTTGGCGTCGTCCTCGCGGTCGTGGCAGCGCTCCCGCCGAGGCCGCCGAGAAGTCCTCGTACCGCGAGCTCGCCTGCCGGCGGTCGCCTCCTGGCGTCGTCGTCGCCGCCCGTCGAGGCCGGCGCCGCCTCGCCGCAGGCGGCGCCGCCCCTCCGGCGCCCCTCCGGCGCAGTGAGGCGCCTTCGGCGCCGCCGCCGCCCCCCGCTGTGCCGTGGTGGTGGTCGTCGTCGGTGCCGCCGCCTCCCAGCGGTCGACGGGTCCAAGGCCCAGGGCCCAGGAGCGATCTCGATCGAGCCGAGGCCGGGCGTCTTGGGTGCAGGACCCGAGGCCGAAGAGACCGGTGCATCGGCCGATGCAGCGCAGGCGGAACGCCCAGCACCGAGCGACCCCCACCCCCGGCAGACATCCGACGCCGCGGTTGTGTTCACAGGCCTCCAGCGACGCTTGATGACCTCAGTGGTCTGAGACCTCTCTGGCCGCTCCGCGGCCGCGCCCTCCTCCCGTCTTGCCCCTTCTTCGTGTCCGCCGTCATTAGCAACGGACGTGTCCCGCCGCTAGCCCGACCGCTTGTGGGGTCCATCTTGCTGCTGACCAGAACAAGGTTTTTCACAGCGTGGCTCCCCAAAGGTCTAGCTTCCCGTCCCTGGGGCCAGCATCTTCCCCCGAGTCATTGCCCGACGGTGCTGGGGCCCAGTGCGGGCCCCCCCCAGTGCCCAAATTTTGTTCGAAATACTCTGGCAGACTCGCCTTCAACAGACTCGCAATTCCCAGACATCCTCCGATACGTTTTTTTGTTTCAATTGGCGGCGCCAGAGCTCCCGACCCCTTCCCAGACGGACTGCTCCTGTCCCCCCCGCCGCCAGGAGTTTCCCCCCCCGAGACGTCTTCGCGACGCGAGGGCGTCAGAGCCTCCCCCCCCTCGCGGGCGAGAGACATAGCCGTATCCGCGGCCTCGCGGGCGAGAGACGGGGGCCTCTGGGCCGCCACCCCGCGGACACGGGGCGTCTCTTCGCGGAGACGCGGCTGCGTGTCCGCGGGGCCGCGCCCCAGAATCCAGCGAGGGCGCGGGTACGGACACGTTCGCCGATCATGACCCGCCGCCCAGAGAGGAGAGCCTGTGCGCCAACCGCACCGCGGGCGAGGCGCACCGGCTTGGGGGGGGGAGAGGTGGCGAGGCGCCATGGCCTGCCTACAGGCCCACCGAAGAACGTTCTAAGAACGTCTTGCGGTTTGCACGACATGTTCGTGGAGCACTTCCCGCTGATAACACGGTCTTGTTTTCATCCATCTGTTTTACACGTTCTGAGAACATTGCTTTTGCTATTCGAAGAGTCTTTTGTTCTGAGAACATCTCGTGGTAGGCCTGTAGGAATGCCGGGACGGTTGGTCCGTGCTCAAAGGAAGGCGGGGGGGCCTCCCAGGGGCGAGAGGGGTGCGGGGAACTGTGCTCGCGGCCGTTGTTCGAGGGGCGGCGCGGCGGCAGGCATCAGGGCGCGCGGGGCAGAGGCGGGCCCCGCCTCAGTGTATCACCGTCCACCAAACCACCCCAACCCAACCCGAAGACCCCGAGTTGCCGTCCATTTCCAGGGGGGGGGGGTCGGGGAACATTGGAAAAGACACGTGAGGCCCGTACCCCCCCCCCAACCCGAAATTCGGGTCTTCGGGTTGGGTTGGGGTGGTCTGGTAGGTCGTCAAAATGATACCCCCGCCTTGGAGCCGTCCGGGGGTCTGAGGTGGCCCAGCACTGGTCACGGCCAGGAGGAAGGACGGGCAGGTTCGAGGTGTTGGATTCGGGAAGAAGTGTTCCTTCTTCGGCCTCCCAGGGCCGTTTTCGGGCCCCGGGGCCGTCAGAAATGGATTTGGGGGTAAAAACTGCGCCAGATGGACCCTGGGAGTGGTCCGTGGACCGACGTTGAGCGGATTTGGCTTCGCCCCCCACTCCTGACCGATTCTCGGGGGTCCCAACCAGTTCAGACCCCCTGGCTGCCTACAACCCCACCCCCGACCACCGCGGGGGCGAGGCAGACTTGTCGAGTTGGGTGCCGCGGCTGGGGGGTGAGATGTGTGGGGAGCGGCCCACGCTCGAGCGCCAGCCTCGGCGGCCGCGGCGGCCGCCGAGCCCTCATGGCCAATCCCTGGCCCGGCACCCCGCCTGCCTGAAGTCGGAAAAGAAACACGTCATACACAACATCACCTTCATCTTCATCATCATCATCAGCATCAGCATCAGCATCAGCATCATCATTATTATTATTCTTATTATCATCATCAGCATCATCATCATTCCTATTATCATTATCATCATCAGCATCATCATCATCCGAGCCTCCCTCTTCCCACCGTCTTCCGAGATTACGATCTCCAAGCGCCTGCATGCGTGAGGCCTGGCTACCCAAGACCCTCGCAGGAGGGTGGACGACTTCGCACCGCATGCATGTATGTGGTGTTTCCGAATGTATTTTCGGATGTTTAGGTGAGTCGGATTGTATTTTCCACTACCTCTCTTGCCCTGTCCTTGCTAAGCTCCTCTTATTGCCTCCCTCACCTCATTTAATCCTCGGCCTCGGAGCCGATAGCGAATCCAACTGCGCAGACTGTGCGCTTAGCCGCCGAGCTGCGATGCGCCTTGGCGTGCTCTGTTTTCACACCTACCACAAGCTCAAGGCGTCGGTGCCTCACATAATATAGGCAGACCCCTTGCAGCAACAGACAGCGGTAGCAGCTGCTGCGCACGCCACTGACCAACAAGCGTGCTTGAGGGCTGTTGCCCCTCAGGTACGGCCGATCATCATCATCATCATCATCATCATCATCATCATCATCATCATCATCATCATCATCCTCATCCTCATCCTCATCCTCAGCATCAGCATCAGCATCAGCATCAGCATCATCATCATCACCATCATCATGATCATCATCAGCATCGTCATCATCGTCATCGTCATCATCACCACCATCATCATCGTCATCATCGAAAGAGCGTGATCTACCGCTGCTGGCGGAAAGCTGGGGGGGGTCACTGGGGGCTCCCAACCCGCCCCCCCTCAAAAACCAGGGGGGGGGCACTGCCGGTTCGAAACCTCCCCCCCCCCCAGTCCATCATGAAAAGGAGGGAGGGGTCACTACCGGTTCAACCCCCCCCCCCTCTCGCCGCCGGCAAACGATTCCCGCTCCTCGGGACACTGGGACAGTGGTGGGGAAGATGGGACAGCGGTGGGGACGGCGGTGGCAGGGACAATGGTGTGGGGACAGCGTGACAGTGGGAGCAGCGGTGGTGAGGACGGTGGCGGGACAATTGGGCAGTGGTACAGTGGGGACGACAGTGGTGGGGACAGTAGTGGGAACACTGGGACAGCACTGGGACAGCGGCGGGGACAGTGGGGACAGTGGGACAATGGTGGAGACAGTGGACAGTGGGACGGTGATGGGGACAGTGGGGACAGTGGGGACAGTGGGGAGAGTGGGACCGTGGCGGGAACAGTGGTGGGGACGGTGGGGACAGTGCGACAGTGGTGGGGGCACTACTCGTGGGGACATTGGGGACAGTGGTGCGAACAGTGGGGACAGTGGGACAGCGGTGGTGGGGACGGTGGTGCTGGGGACAGTGGGTGATGGCGCTGGTGAGGACGGCGGTGGGGACCCGGGAGTTGTTTGCGGGCGGTGAGTGGGGGGGGGATTCGAACCGGTAGTGACCCCCCCCTCAGCTGGTTTTCTGGAAGGGGGAGGGGTTCGAACCGGTAGTGGCTTCCCCCGGTTTTCCGGGGAGGGGGGGGTTAGGGCAGTGGGGAAGGGGAGGGGTTAGTGCAAGCTAGGTGCGCTCGCGTCATATCTGACATCCTACCCCTCCCTCCCATCCCTTACCATGGCGCAGATCCCCTCTCTACTCGCACAGTCGGATGTCGAGCAGGGCAATGATCCCGAAACGGTACGCGATGCATTGTAGAGAACGGCATGGCATGGCGTAGAAGAGCACCGCAAAGCGTAGTATCAACCTAGCATTGCATTGCACGCCGTGGCATGGCACGGGAAATGACGCCAGCGCTGCAGCGGGAGCACGAGTCGAAACGAGCGGAAGCGCGGAAATGAGGCCAGCGCTGCAGCGGGAGCACGATTCGGAACGAGCGGAAGCACGGAAATGAGGCCAGCGCTGTAGCGGGAGCACGATTCGGAACGAGCGGGGCCCGAAAATGAGGACGGCGCCTCAGCGAGAGCAGCATTTTGAAACAAATGCAGGCGAAAACCCAACTCCGGGGAAACCTGTGTGTAAAAAAAACAGTACACGGGGGGGGTCGGACACTTTCAAACCGTCATCAGGGGAAGAGGGAGAGTAGTATTCATATTGAGTAATTGTGAAGGGGGTTTTGCCAGGGGAAGGGAGGGGGGGGGAGGGGGGTTTGGAGCGGGGGGGGGGATTTTCGGAGGGGGGTGGGGGGGCCGGGTTCCAGACGAAGAGGGGGGGATTTTTCCAAAGTAAAGCGGCGGTGGATCACGCTCTCTCTCAACCTTTAAAAACATGGGGCGTAAACGACATCTTCTGAAGTTCGCGTGGAATTATTGGATCGGCGCTGGGACCCTCTAGCGGCGCCCCTGGCGCCGACCCTGGCGCGCTCCGCGCGCCAGGGAGGGAGGTCCAGCGCAGAAGATCCAAGAAATCTGCGCGGAGCGCCAACAGTTTGTGTTTATGCAGTTTTTCCGGTTTCGTGCAGGGGTTCTCGCGAGTGCTGCAGTCGGGGGTGGGGGTGTCCTTTTTGGGCCATCACGAACACTTCTCGAAGAACAACAAATTGCGCTCCGCCTGCCAGGGAGGGGTGTTCGGCGCAGATCGAAGAACTGCGCGCGGACCTGCAAGAGTTGATGTTTATGCAGTTGTTTTTTCCTCTCAGCTCTAGGGCTCACAGGTGGGGTTGGAGTAGATGGGGTCGGAGGATCGCGCCGCATCGCCGAAGCATCGCCGATGCATCGGCGAGGTATCAACGATACGGCGCGAACCCCCGACCCCATCAAGGAAGCCTCTAACAACGCACGCCCATGCCCACAGGTCGGGAGAGGGAGCAGCGGCACCACCACCATCAGGGTGAACACCTCTGGCGACGAGGTCCACGATGTCTTCTCGAGCTGGGGATAGGAGGTATCTCGAGCGAGAGGGGGGGACAAACCACCACGTGGCTCCTCCCGCTGACGAATCCTGGTGGTGGTGATGTTGCTTTGCTTTGTTACTACATGGGGGCGTCCCGCTTCCGTGCAAAGTCTGATGAACGGACAACACATATCCGAACAGGATTCATTTCGACTCTGTCGATTCGGTTTCGATGATTCCGATCTCGATTCGATCCGACTCTGGATTCCGACATTGGTTTAGTTTACTTCGTGTATGTACGCCCTGGCTTGGGCCAGCGGGCGTCGATTCCGATACGTCCCGATCAGCTTGCCGGCTTCCACCGGTTCGATGTATCTCGGTGGCTGAGAAGAGATACCGTTTCAATTTTTGTAAGAGAATTATTTGCGCCGCGCCTGGCATCCTTCGCGCGCCAAGGAGGGGTTCAGCGCAGATCCACGAAATTCGTGCGAACCTCCCAAATCTGATGTTTATGAGATCTCGTTGTCCTCTTAAAACGCACGCTCAGAAACACACACACACACACACATTCACACACAAACACACCACTTTTTGGGGAACGGAAGGGGGGCGGACTGGCTATGGATATGGGTGCGGATTGCTGGACTCTGGAGGAGAGGAGTTTTGTTTTGTCCGCTTTTGTTTCGTCCGCTTTTGTTTCGTCCGCTTGTGCTTCGTCCGCTTTTGTTTCGTCCGTCTTTTGTTTCGTCCGTCTTTTGTTTCGTCCGCATTTTGTTTCATCTGTTTTTGTTTCGTCCGCTTTTGTTACGTCCGTTTTTGTTTCGTCCGCGTTTGTTTCGTCCGCTCCGGTTTCGCCCGCTTCTGCTTTGCGCGTTCCGTGTGCAAAAACCAGGCGAGTCAAAACCGGATGAAGTTACATAATCATATTGGGTGAGTGCATACTGGGCGAATCGATGCCTAATGGGTTTAAACTAGGGGAATCACTAACACCAGATGGTTGATCTACACGGGCAACTTTAAACCGGATGAGTTCATAATTGACGACACTAAACTGGATAAGTTTGAACGGGCCGATTGAAAACGGATGAATTCAAACAGGGCGAATGAAAACCGGATGAATCTAAACCGGGCGAATGAGAACCGGATGTCGTTATCTGGGAGAATTGAAAGTTGTCTAAAAGACGCCTCGCGGCACCAGAGGCCCCCAAGATAGCCCCAAGACGGCCCAAAGAGGTCCATAGGATAGCCACAGGATAGCCTAAGAGGGCCCCAAATATGGCCCAAGCAGCCTCCAAGGCAGCCCAATATGCCCCAAAGGGGACCCCAAGAGAAACCTAAGAGGGGAAACTCGAACTAGCCTGAGGAGCCTTGCCCTCCAATGTAGCCCTCCCTCCCAACACGGCCCCAAGACCCCTGGAGAAACGCCAGAGAAGCCCCAGGATGCCTACAAGAGGCCCCATAGGCCCTAAGTGCCCCCTCAAGCGACCCCAGAGAAGCCCCCGAGAGCCACCCCAAGACCCAAGAGACCCCAACAGGTATCCAAGATACCCTGGCCCACAAACCAGACATGGTGGCGGGATGGGCCGAAGGCCGCCCCCCTGCGTTTATCACAAGGGTGCTTGGCGTGTTGGATGTTTGCTTGTTTTTGCAAAAAGGTTCCCCTGTGGCTTCCGGCTGAAGCCACCACCGTGTCCAATATGACCAGCAATTGCACCACGCCCGCCTCTAAGACGGCCAGCGTGCTCTCCAAGACGGCCAACCAAGATGGCCACAATAGTGCATAAGATGCCACAAGACGGCCCAAGATGACTCCAAGACGGCCCAAGATGACTTCCAGACGGCTTCAGAGGCCCCCAAGATGCCCCAAGAAGGCTCCCAGAGGAACTCCAGTAGGCCCAAATCCGTGCTTTTCCTCAGGCGTTCAGTCGATTTCGCGTTCTCGCATTTTCGGGATTCGGACAACCGAATACGACCACAGAGGCCTCTAAGACAGCCCCAAGACTGCCCCATAACCCAAGGGCCCCACGACGGGCCAAGAGGCACCCAAGACGGCTCACGAGGCCTCGAAGACGGCCCCCATATCTCCAAGATGGCCCTCAATCGTCCCAAGAGGACTCGCCCTAAGACGGCACAATCAGACCCCCTAAGTCGGCCTCGGAAGGCTAAGAGCTAAGAGGCTTTTTGGAAGCCCACAGAGGCCGCCAAGAGGCTCCTCAGAGGCTCCCCGCACAGGATGCCCCTAGAAGGCCCCATGGCCCCAAGAGGCCTCTCTCTCGTTCTTTTCCTCCTCGTCCTCCTCCTCCATTTCTTTTCCTTACCTATAGCTCCTCCCTGCCGCACCCCAGACGTATAGGTAGTGCGGAACAGGCGTCTCGCCCGAGACTTCCTCACCATCTGTGATCCTGAAGCTTAAAATCTACAACAGTTTCAAGGATAGAGGGCGTGCCGTTTTCAACATGTGGTTCTTGCCTGGGCGCCGCGCATATTTGTCTTCAAAGCTCGTAGCAGTTTCGAACATGAAAGGCGGTCCGTTTTCAAAAGGTGGTTCTCGCCTTCGCGCCGCGCGCATTCCTCTCAAACGCCCCCAGCAGCAAGGGTTCGTTGGCAAGATTTAGGGTGTGCCAGGACGCAACGGCCACGTACTCGCGGCGTTGAAGTCCCAGGAAACGTCAATTTACACAGATGGGGATTACATAGTGGTTCTTTTTCTATGGAGCATTTCCCGCAATGAAGCTATATTATTGTAGGAGCCTATCCAGTGGCAATTTGGAGGGAAGGTTTATTGACACAACGCTGAGGCGTCTTGAGTTTAGTATGGTCCTCCTCCTCCTCCTCCTCCTGTTCGTCCTCCATATCCTACCCGTCCTCTTCCTCCTCCTTCTCATCCTCCTCCTCCTCCACGTCCTCAACCTCCTCCTCTCCCCTCTGTCCCCTTGGCCCAAGGGGCCTCCAAGTCGCCCCAAGCGGCCTCCCAAGAGGCCCTAAAATAATGGACGTCCCCAAGGTTTTTGAACCATGTTAACCTTCTCGCCTTTTCGGCGTCCCGTCGCTCCAAGACTGCCCAGAAGGCGCCCCAAGATCGCCCCATGACGGTCCCAGAGATCCCCACGAGGGCCCCCGAGGCGGCCCAAGAGGGCCCTACGACGGCCCAAGCGTGCCCCAAAACGGCCCAGGAGGCGGCGAAGACGGCTCCAAGAGGCAGATGGGGAGCCCGAACAGACATTTCGAACCTTCGGCCCCGAAGGGCACCCAGTCACGAGGCCCCCAAGAGGTCCCCAAGAGGCCGACGATGCCCCCAAGAGACCCCAAGAGGCCCCAAAGAGGCTCCCAAGAGACCCTACAATTACGCCCAAGACGCCTCCGAAGGCGCTTCGACGACACCCCAATAGGCATTCCTGAGAACTCTTACCCACAGCCCTGGCACGGTGGCGGGATGAGCAGAAGGCCATTGGATATATATATATACACACATATATAGAGTTTATACATAGGTATCTATATATATATGTATATATATATATGTACATACACACATTTACACACACACACACTAGAACCACGCGCGCTTAGGTTCTGGCAATCTCCATTTGTAGTCTAAAGTGTTCGGCATCGTGGGACACATAGTGTCACACTTCCACATGGGTCCCCCCGCTCATGTTGGCACCCCCCTACAGGGACCATAGGGAGATCCACCTACGCTCCCAGAGACGAGGTTCGCATAGTGGCACGTACCTCAAGCGGATCGTGCCACGTAAGTGAATGAATGCATTTGCGGCACCAGAAGGGAGCTTCACAGCATCGCTCCGCTCACGTCGGCACACCTCTCACACGGATTGTGGCCCGCAAGAAGTTCCACGGACGGCTCCAGAGGCTAGGTTCGCATCCCGCCTACTTCGGCACGCCTCTCGCAAGGATCGTGGCCCACAGGGACCTCCACCCGCGGCCCAAGAGGCAGGGTTCGCACTGCGCCCCCCCAGCCATTGCGGCACGCGGCACACCCCATCACGCGGATCGTGCCCACAAGGAGCACCACCTACAAGGCCAACGCAAGGTTCGTACAACGCCCTCCCCGCCCATGTCGTCACACTTGTCACGCGAATCGCTTTGCATGGCGTCCCCGCACCCATTTCGGAACATGCCTCGCGCAGGGCGGGCCCGCAGGAGGTTCACTTGCGGCCTCACTGGGCGTGTTCGCGCGGCCTTTCACGTGGATCGTCCTTTCACGTGGATCGTGCACCACAAGGAAGTCAGCCCACCCGTGCACGCGTGCCGGCGGCAGCCATGTGTCCGCATTGCGTAGGTGAAGGCAGGAGGAGGAGGAGGAGGAGGAGGAGGAGGAGGAGGAGGAGGAGGAGGAGGGGAAGAGAGGAGGAGAGGAAGGGAGGAGGAGGAGGAGGAGGAGGAAGAAGAGGAAGGAGGAGGAGGAGGAGGAGGAGGAGAGGAGAGGAGGAGGAGGAGGAGGAGGAGGAGGAGGAGAGGCGGTCGCGTGGAGTCTGCGGGCAGCCTGGCCGGCGCAGGCGCGAGCGGCCGCACTGGTGGCCCAGCTGGAGGCCAAGATCAGGCCAGCCTTCCTGCGGCACGGTCGGAGCGGGCACGGAGAAAGTGTGGGCGAAGACCAGCAGCCGCTCCTGTCCATCTTTAAGAGGAGGAGGGTAAGGATGATGATGATGAGGAGGAGGAGGAGGAGGAGGACGATGAGGAGGAGGAGGAGGAGGAGGAGGAGCAGGGCTGGGCTGGCATGTCGGTGTGTCAGCGTCGCCCGCCCAATAGCGGCCGCTGCTGGCTCTGGGCAGCATCTGCTGCAGGGCATCGTGCCCATTTCTCTGGGCCCGTTCCGGGCGTGCCAGCGCTTCGGCCGCCTCTTCTCTTCTCTTCTCTTCTCTGTCCGTATATTACCTATTCGGGGGTGGATAGACCTCCTACCCTGACACGTCGATTAAGGAATTGGCCGTTTTCGGTTCGCGAGAGGGCGGCGCGGCCGTCATTTTTGCGGGTCCAGGTCCGTCGGTTTCGGTCCCAGGCCGTTTTCATTAAGGGGAGGTTTGCTAAAGGGAGCTTTGTCCACCGCCGATCTATGATGTTCTTCGCGTCTTTTTTCTTTCTTCGGTGACATTATATCATCCTCTCTCCTTTCCTCTTCCCTTCTCTTCTCTTCTATTTTCACGTCGTTTCACTTCACACACAGACACACTCTCTCTCTCTCTCTCTATCTCGGACCAGAGGTGGCCCAAGGGCTTCTTTGTGGCGTGCCACGACCAACAGATGGCTGGGCGCGAGGGGGGGTGGTACTCCACGTCGTGGCGGGCTATTGGGGGGCCTCTCGGGAGGAGGCGGGGTCTCTCTCGGGGGGGGAATCCCCGGGGGGCCCCCGAGATGCCGAGAGCCCCCCCCCCAGAGGCCAGGAGCCATTGTTCATCGTTGCTCGAAGCAGCTTCGACGGTCCGAGCGGATTTCTTGGATCGGCGCTGCCCATATCCGGCCCAGAACCAGACGTCCGGGTCGGTTCTGCGTGGCACACGAGGCGGCTTCCGTTTGCTCACGTGGGGACGACCTCCTCGCATGAGGCCGTCTACGAGTTCGGATGTGGCCAGCTCCTCCTGCTTCATGTCACAGGTGTGCAGCTTTGTATCAAAGTGAGGAGGAGGAGAAGGGGGAGGAGGGCGAGAAGGGCTTATAGATCCAGAAGGGAAGGCCTTCCCTTGGCCTACCCCTAGGCCCTTCCCTTAGGCCTAGCCTAGGCCAGCCCCAAGGCCTTTTCCTAGGCCTGCCCTAGGCCTAACGCTAGGCCCTTCCCCTAGGCCTGCCCTTGGCCTACCCCCACGCCCTTCCCCCATGCCTTCCCCTTGGCCCTTCCCCTCGGCTTAAAGGCCAACCCGAAGTCTACCCCTAGGCCTTTCCCAAAGGCCTACCCTATGCTTACCCCTGGGCCCTTCCCTTTGGCCTACCCTCGGCCTGCCCCTGGGCCCTTCCTTACCCCTAGGCCCTTCCCCTAGGGTTTCCCTAGGCCTACCCCTAGGTCCTTTCCCTAC